CTGAATAAGACGAAAATAAAATGGTTTTTAATTCGACTAAAGACCATCACGCAAAAATGTCGCGTCATTGGATTCAAAACTTATATGGAACTTTTTAAATAAAACAGTACTAAAACATAGTTGATACAGCATGTGTTCAAAATAGGATACCAACAGCTAGGGAAGTGACCCGGGTGATGGAAACTTCCCGGACGATTTCCCGGAAGTTAATGCATACATTTGTACAGTATAATGGTCTTGGAAAATAAATTATGTTATCAAACTATATATCAAATATTTTTTGCAATTTATATATCTGAGCAATATAATACACAATAGAGGTTTTTCGACAACACCATATGCCATTTATCATTTATTTAATTTGATGACAACAGAATTATTCTGATTAGAACTATTGTCCCAATTTATGTAAAGAAAACATAGCGTAAGTATTACAACCTTGTTCATTGAGAAGGTATATTTATGTCTGAGCAATTCAGGCCCAAAAGCACAATGACGTCAACATAATTACATGAGCAAATTAATTAATATTCACGTTCCTCAAAAACATTTGTCATGTATTAGTGTTAATCTGTAAGGGTCATCGCCGAATTAGGACACTGAAATCATAGAATATAGGCCATATACAGACGTTGTATATTAAAGCACTTGTAAGTGAAAAACAATCCATAGGGCTGCGTCTAGGAATCAAGAGGGTGACATCTATTGAAAGCCAGTTTTGTCAAATGAAACTCAGAGATTAGTGTACCAAGATTACCCAAGTGGTCCTGGACCCTTAGTTCTCACATCGAATTTTACGTGAGAGCCACTTTGTTCATGCAACTGGGCAATGTGTCGCTAAGATTTGGTTAACTTTATGTGGTTATATTCAAACAAAAAAACGTTCAAAATCACATCCACGTTTAATATAAATGTCCCTTATACAATCATATAACATGCATTGCATGAAAGTTCCCAGATAAATGACCAGATAAAAATTGTAAGAGTTATTATAACCACAAAAGGAAGACGATTTAAGATTTAACCAATATCAAGATAGATAGAACACTAACCAAAATACACCTTGCCATGTTGATACGGACAAGGTAAAATATGCTGTGAAAAATATATTGAATCTCTATACTCAAAATATTGCCTTTTATTCATTCATCATTTTGTTTGTTGTTAAGCATCTGGTGTTAACATATGGATGGTTACAATAACACGTATTTCACCGTGTACGTGTACTCACGTGTACATAATTCCTGTTCCACTAGTGACATCATATAGTTGTCATCCTCCATGGCAGAAATGGTTGGCATGGTTACTAAATCCTTCCTCGTCAAAACATTATTAAGCCTCTCTTGGAACAGGTTTTTGTATTCCTGCGTTGATACATATGAATTGTATTATTCTGCTCTCATAGTCAGTCAGTCTGCTTTAACGGCGGTTATACAATACGGATTATGTTAATCCAATTATTGGCTTAATGATGACACAAATATATATATATATATATATATATATACTGATTTAAACACAAGTATCAAAATGGGTTAAGGGAAATACGGCAGATGGATTCTGTGTGTTCAGTACGTGATACACTGTTTAGGATTCATAAGTCAGGTATTGGTTAAATTTCATGTTATGCAATGCACATGTTTCCGGCGATACATGTCTACTTTCGGCTAATCACGTGATTCTAAAAGAACACATTGATGAATTATCACTGAATTGCATGATTGTATATTTACCATTGCATAGTTGGGAAGAGCAACGTACATAGAGGACATATTTCTTTTCGTCATCAGTAAGCGAAGGTCTTTGGATACACTGATGGCTGAACGTCTCATGGCCTCTCTTCGGACTGTGTCACAGTTTGTCAAGCCATTTCGACAACTGATGTGCAGCATTAGAAACATGTTAGCATTCAGCTGGTCAGAGGTCAACTACACATTTCAACAAATATATTATTAAAGGGCGGTGGTCGTCGCGCCGCGTCCTGTTCGACATGGGACTTATAACAAGGTACACAACGCGTGTGAAGTGCATTCTTCGTTTAAACGAAATTCGAACACGCGTGACGACCACGGCCCTTTAATACCAAATCTGTTTGCCACAAATATAATCTCATCTTCAAAGATTAAGACATAAATACATATGCAATTACTTTATTCTAACACGTTAATAGCAATCAATACATACCCTTCCTCCGTCTTTGTCCGAAAATGTAGCGCCATGAAAGGTTTTCCATGTAACAAATCTCTCTGAACCAAATCAATAACACCACGTATTTTCTTTGGTCTAATGAGATGTAAATCAAGTTGATTGAGGAGCTCCAACTGTTCTGGTAGCTTGTATGGCCCAAACTCTCTTGGCAGATAGATTCCCACGCACTGAATATTGCTTAACTCTTCGAATATATTTCTTGGATTTGCGATGACATCGACCTGGGACCAGTTTGGTATATTTATACCGAATGCATTCTCATAGAGCTGTTCATGTCTTTGATACATTCCTTCACCGTCTACTCGACCTGTAACAACGCCAATAACTCTGTCCACTGTACGATTACAGTTACGTCTGAACTCGTCTATATTCGCTACACCTACCAACTCTTGTAGTTTATCTACATCAAACGTCTCATTTAGAAATTTCCATCCGACAGCGTCACGCTCTTGACTATAGTGTGTGTGAAACCACTTCTCAACAAGTGTCCTATTTGTATACAATGCATATAGCGCGGCCATTCTGAAATGCTCGAAATTGAAGTTTGGACCACTACCATAGTGATGAATGGGCAGCAAGTATCGCTTCTTAACTGCCATCTTGGATTCCGTATTCTTGATTATATTTAACTGTACAGATAAATTCATATTATATTTTACAAATGTGCACTCCAACGCAGGTCAACATACATTTTTGAGACTCGAAGAACTCGTCGTCAACACTGACTGTGCCTCGCAATGAGTTCTGAGGGTCTCTAAAATGTGTGTCCACTTTTGTTGCAGTGATTTTTGTATTACTATACTACAAAAAACACAATTCACTTCCTAGGCATATAGCCCATATTTGTCAACACACACACTTACGTATCAGACTCAACGGTGTCGTACATCGTACGACCGTAGTCGAATTGAGCATGCGCAGTCTCACAACCACATGGTGTGCAGGCGAAACTCCTTTCACGAAAAATGCCGCAAAATCATAGTGTTCTCTTCAATAAATAGTTAAAATAATGAAAGTAAGCATGACAAATTACTCAATTCATGAATATTGCTGTGCTTCGTTTTTTTCTTGACAAGTTATTGGCGTTTATCCTGAACAAAGGTCTTCGGATTGAGGTACTGATTTGAAAAATACAGTTGAAAATATTAGTTGAAAGATTTTGTACTTGTGCCAACAAACTTTCTTGTAGTAAGTCTTGTCCTCCTGCTTAACCTATGGGCAGTCTTTTAAAAAATACACCTTGGGGGCGAACTTTGAAAAGGTTTTCCCATTTCTTCTCAAATTTCAGAAAGAAATACGTATCTCTCGACCAGCCACCCGATATCCTATCTCGAATGTATTTAAAAAATAAATCTGAACAGGACATCACCTGACGCCAAAAGAATTGTCGACCTTTTTAATGAAGAAATGCTGCTTTCACATGCGACGTCATCACTACTTCACTACAATTGGTTTCCTTTAAATGATGTCAGAATAATACACTAGACATATGATGTGCAGCCATACTTCTGTTCTTGTTTACTCTCACAGTGCAGTTCTAGTAGCGATAATTCAGTTTAATGGTTAGAGGTCATGTGCGACATTCGTGTTCATTAATAGACATTGACTTTCCACAAATTAATCGGGATCAAGCACCTAATAATTATTGTGGGGGAGCTGTTTTAAAATACCCCGAGAAAGTGTTCTATATTCTTCGAGTAATTAGGTGTTCATAATAAAGGGATTTTTCCACGCAAAAACGACGAATTCGGTCGAGTTTTGTTAGCGGTTGACTTAATATTACCCACCAAAGAATCGTTTGGCTGTGAAAGATTGGTATTTTTTTCTGATTTGTAGGAATCTGAAAAATGCGTTTCACAACTTGTCTCTTTCTTTTAGTTTTATGCCGTATTCAAGATGGCGGCCCCCATATAGTAGATATCGCATTTATTTTATTATCACTTGTGCGCGAGCTGACAGTGATTCAAATCAAGTAATGTTTTTTTCCGATGAATTCACTCAAACAATCGTAAAAATATAGTGATGAAATAAATAGAAGCACTAAACCGTAGATCTATCAGGGGTAAATTCTCTTCTATGGGGTTCTCCACACTTGTCAGGGTGGAATCTCGTCTCGTCTCTCTATATCTCGTTCCCTTGAGGTACGGGATCGGGAAAGTCACTTAAGCCTTACAGTCAAATAAGACACACACAACGAAATACGTTTCAACTCTCGTCTTAGTCGATCAGTCGAGTACTCTGTAAGACACTGCGCCCTGGGGAAAAATCCCCAAGACTATCGCAAGGCTGAACCAAGACTCTCTTAGACTGCGTCAACACTCACCCAAGGCTCTCCAGGACTGCGTCTCTCGTGGTGTACTCGCCAAGACCAACTCAAACTCTCTTTATTCATTTTCAAAACTCTAACCAATTACAAAACAGTAAAAAGACTCTAGGGCGTAACCTTCAATCATAAGGCCAATCACACTAAGTACTGAATACGTCATATATTTTGATTAATCGTTCACTACATTAATAACTACGAATACCAACTGTCAGAATTAATAGTCCGAATAGCTACGGATATCTCGTAATTAGTTCCAAATCACTGAGTCAAGCTCCGTCCAGGACCTCGCCTGCCTAAACGATGACAGACATAACACAGCAATTCAGCTAATAATCAACTAATTAAGTCGGTCAACAGATACGTGCAAACAAATTCATGACAGATCAAACAAATTGTGAGCGCCATGTCAGGGTACCGATTCTAACTCACTGTGAGTACTGTGGCTCGACTACAGCATATATTTCAGCTGTTCGCTTACAATTTCCAGTTACAAGTACTTATTATTAATATGTATCACATTCGCAGCTACTTAGTCACCAGGGCTAACGTCGGAATAATAATTTGTGTGCCGAATCCAATTTTTTTTTTAGCGAAAACGTGCTTTGGTGAATGACCGAAATTGTCGGTGCATGGTCGCTTCAGCGCACAAAATAACACATGTAAGGCTTATATCTGACATACACATGTCACAAAGTCGACAAAGCCAGAATGTTTTCTCGCATCACACCATCGAAATTATCGCCAACCGATAATATATTTATTAAACTCTCACCAAAGCGAAAACCGCGACGAAAACGATTAGTTTGCAGTGCTTTTCCACACGTACCTTTGGTGGCAGGCATTTTCTACAGGTCGAATGAGAACAAGATGACGTCACTCGAATAGGTGTATACTCCCGTAAAGCAAACATGTAGTCTGTAGTGTGTATACTGCCCTCAGTCTTTTGGAAGAAATGTGCAAATAAAAGGCTTCCATGCATGTATGATAGGGGTAGGGGTACCAACAGCAGCAAATACCAAGAGGTCCATAGCAAATTATCGATAGTAGCAGACGACCATTTCCTGTTATCTTTTACTAGAGTTACGCACGGTTCGGAAACTTAATCCTAGGAAAAAAGCTTCAAATAGATCTTTGTTGCGGTTTTTGTTCTGGTGAGTTTTTAACAAACATGATATCGACTGGTGATAGTTTCTATTGCGTGATATGAAGTAATGGTGTATCGACTTTTATTTCTGGTGCCATTTGGCGTCACACGTGTGTTACGTTACGCAAGTTACGCAATAAAATGTCAATATCCCAAAATAACATGTATCAGAAACAACTAAAATACCATTACAACGACAAAGGACCGACATCTGCGTCTAATACTGAAATACACTCCTTATATGTCGTATGTTCAGTTATGAATTAAAGGGAAAACAAATAACTAAACATTCCTATTTCGCGCAACTATACTACATTACCTGAATGTTGCTGGAGGTTTTACTTGCAGGTGTCGTTTTTCCTGAAACTGTTGTACCATTCGTGTATGTTAATTCAGATGGGCGAACATAAACCTTAATTCAAAAAATAGAAGATTGTGTTATTTATATCAGTAGTTTGTCAACATTCAGACTACATACACTTATGTATTGCAACCAAGGTTCATGAACCCAGTAACAGAAAAAAACAGGGGGTGGAACAGCAAATACGTACGCTATTCTGTTCGGTGCCTGAATACTAGCCATTTCTATCTTCGAGGCAAACCACCATTGTATTCAATTCTTTGATTGTGTTTTTTTTTTGCTAGTTAATAATATTTCATCAACATCCGAAAGTAAAATAAAACAGTTAGTGTGCCTTAAAATAATGTGTTTACATGTTCATTGGATCAACATATAAAGCTGGGAATATACAGTTCACATTAAAGAAATAAGTCTTGTAATATTCAAATAAACATTTCAATGGCCTAGGCCAGTGGAGTGTTGCAGAAATTAAACACCCCATATGTTGTAGAATTCATTTATTAAATTTAGCGTGCTTATGCATTAATTGTTGGCACAGACAGGACATGACATTCCTGTCTGAATAATAATACCCTGACGATCGATTATCCCAGTGCGCAACCATTGTAACTCCCGTTTCCCTGCGATCGAAAAATATGACAGCAAACGATCCGATTCATGATGCTCATGTCTGAGAATGATCACACAAATTGTCACCAATATGTATCCCTCCAATGGCAATCTGCGACTGCACGTTCGTAATTTAAATTCACATTTTATCAGCTACCTACACACCATACCTGTTTGATTGAGTTAATCACGTGTTGATTATAGTT